ATAACAATATTTGCTCTTGGAAGCCCGAGTAGGGAAACATGCAGGAATCCTGGAATATTACGTTATACAGTATAAAGAGTATTGCAGAGAGTGATAAACAATCTGTTGATGAGTACCAAAGAATGGCAAATAGCCCTAGACAATAAACCGTGATAAAGTGGCTACATAGCCAGAGCGGTTCACATGTTACCATGCCTGCTGGCAGGCAGGGAGGGGGTGCGTATAAGCACTTTACAATAACTGGGGATACAGCAAAAAGGAGAATTACAAAAAAGGAGGGATAAAGCCCCGATGAGCTAAACATTACATAGAGTAACACTGGAATGAGAATATTTACATAAAGTACACTGAAGGCAGTGGTCGAGGTAGCTGCAGAAGGTAGTAGGAAAGTCAATGCGGAAAGCAGTGCAAGAGTTCACAAAGTTTGTTAGCTGGGTAAAGCTTTCCTTATGGGCGCAGAGGAAGTCCAAGTTTGGAGGCCATGATTGTCCATGAGAGATGCAGTAGTTTTTTAGTTCACTTCTGGCTGTCTCGTAGAATGGACAGTCAAATAAAATGTGAAAGGTGTCTCCTTCAGTGGTGTTGTCGCATGTGCAGGTCGAGTCGCTTCGTCTTCTGATTCTGTAGAGGTAGGACGGGATGTTGCCATGTCCGATTACGCATTGAGACAGGGAAAACGACGGAGTGATATAGTGATAATTCTGTCTTTTGTGTATTGATGGCAGGAAGCTGAACGTCGTGCGGCCAGTTGCTGAGTTGTTCCATTCGTTCTCCCAAAGGTCTATGCTGCGGTCGTATATCTGGTTTTTGATGTAGGTGATAGGAAGAAGACCGAAGGATGGTTTTATGAGTAGTTCCGCTGCCCGTTTGGCCAATTTGTCGGCCCTTTTGTTACCCGGAATATTCGTGTGGCTGGGAACCCAGCCAAAAGAAATATTCCTGTAGCGGTTAAGATTATTTGTGAGATGGTTTAGTCATACGTCACAATTGGATCACGTGCCCCTTATACAGGGATACGCAGATGATATTGTGCTTCTCATGTCTCACTACGACCACGAGGTATTACAGGAAAGGGTCAACAACACTCTAAATGAAATCTATAATTGGAGTAATAGGGCAAAACTTAAAATCAATCACTCCAAGTGCAATGTGGTTGTTTTCTCAAAGGGGAAGATTTTAAAGAAAGGGCCGAGTATTAAAATAAATGGCATTAAAATCAAGAACTTGCCTTCGGTAAAGTACCTGGGTGTTATGATTGATCAAAGGCTAAACTGGACGGAACATGTCCATTACATCTATGAGAAGGCCACCAAGATCACGCACGCACTAAAGTCTATTTGCAGAAACAGGTGGGGCTATGGCCCAATCACTAGTAGGATCCTCTACACCACTGCCATCGAGCCAATCATTCTGTACGGGGCCGAAGTATGGGGCTCTTCTGCAATCAAGGTTCACGTAAAAAGAAAGCTGCTTTCAATCCAAAGGCTTTCAGCCATCTCCACGACAAAAGCTTACAAGACAGCACTTACAGAGGCCCTTCTTGTGCTAAGTAATCTGTTGCCCATCGACCTCAAGATCAGAGAGAGGTACATGGTTACCTTAGCAACCTTAGCAAGCTGGCAAGCAACAAGATCACCATTGATCAGTTTTATGAAATCATAGCCAGAGACACTCTTACAGAAGACATCAAGACCATCGCCAACCTCGTTACAACCAATGGGATTGATAAGACCAACAATTATCAAGCCATCCACCCTAGCTTCTCTATTATGATAGACACAGATTCCTCCTTTGACAACAAGCAACTCAAACATTTTCACTGATGGCTCCAAAGCAAACGACGCAGTCGGTTGTGCTTTTGTAGCCTACAAGAAACAGCAGTGCCTCCATCAAATGCGTCGTAGACTGCATACCAGCTGCACTAATAACCAGGCGGAGTCTCTGGCCATCCTTTTCGCTCTGAACTGGATCCAGCGTAACTCCCATCAACTGCAAATCGATAACTACCAGATTCACAGCGACAGCAAAATTGCTCTTCAGCAAATTGCCAAAGTAAATAACACGCTTCCAATTGTCAAAGATAGTATTCAGATGATTATGGACTTAAAGGATAACGGAATTAACGTTTCCTTCCATTGGGTTAAGGGGCACTCTGGTATTCCGGGCAATGAGAGAGCTGACCTCCTTGCCCGGTCTGCCCCTAACCCTTTCAGTAGCATCTTGTACAACAAGCTTAGCACCACCTACATTAGGAACATGATGCACGATGTAATCAAGAACTCTTGGCAACACAGGTGGGACAATAGTGACACGGGAAGGCTTACGCATAGCTTCCTACTGAAGATCCCCGACAAGCGCACGAAGCCCCATTACAGCATGTCCTTCCAACTTACTCAGCTGGTTACTGGCCACGGGAACCTGAGGACATACCTCAAAAGGTTTCTTGGCAAAACAGACGGACTATGTGTCCTCAATGAGGAAGAGGACCCGTGCCATCTTATTTACCACTGCCCGCTCTATACTAACCAGCGGAAAACTCTTAAGGACATTGTGATAAACAGTGGGGAACATTGGCCATGCACCCTCAGTGCATTTGGCAACAACAAAAGCAGTTTTATTGCTCTCAGGAACTTTGCGAAAGACATTAAAATCCTGGACTACGTGATCTGGAAATTTCCTGTGGTTCTTCTACACAACCAGTGTAGAAGAACCACACTCCGAACTTTCAATGTGGATGGTGTTGGCGACATTCCGAATGGGAAACCTGAGACATCATACAGTGAACTTGCTACAGTGTGGAACTAGTAAGTTCCACACTGTACTAGTTGGATAGCTGGATAGACACTGAATTGAAAATTCACTAATGGTGAAACATTTTGTTTTTGCAATGTCGATTGATGGTGAAGCTGACGACCCTGATGGAAGATTGGAGACATCATCCATTGTGAACACATTCCAGCATCACACAAACAAAAGATAGAACAGTAATTCGGCTGCCGCTCCAGACGGAGGACTAGTGGTACCATACATCGTGAGCAAGTTCTAGGGAGGAAACAGATACAAGATACAGCAGTATTTCAGCTATGTAATACATCTGTTATAAAAACATTGAATAGTATTTTAAGTATTGGCGAACTACGGAACCCAAAACAATCTGGGTGTTGTTCCCCATAAAGGAAGTTATGTTGCGATAACCATTCTTTTACAGTGGCTACAAACACTTTGTAATATTATGTTTGCTGTTGATTTATACCTTGTACTATTCATGGTATGCCGATCCTGTACATATTGTGAATCCTCGCAGACAGCAAGGATGTCGTAATTAGTATTATTGTATTACTTTAATTAATGCTGTATGGTTTTATTTATTCATTTCCAATTAATAAGCCTGTATAAATTGTTATACAAACAAACATTGTTATTATTCAGTACAAATTGAAATAGCCATGCAAGTAGCAAGGCAGAAGTTATAAGCATTATTGTAGTTACATAATAATTCATAGTTTAAATTGATTTCTTCTTTAATTTAAATATTTTGTCATTGCTAATTCTTTGCACAGATTGTTATCCTTGCAAGAAGCAAGGATGCTATGTCGCTTATATCACACTAGGTATTCTGTATGTAAACCATGTATATATTATTTATATTTTCTTTTGTTTNCGTTGTCGTTGGCAGCACGATTCTCGTAATGTTATCACTTTAGTGACAGCTGTGATAAGAATGGATTCTCGACAGAAAGTTGTATTATTATTATTATTATTATTATTTAAACTTCTTGTATTGAAGCAGCGTATACACGCTAACAGAGAAGGGTATCGTTTGACACGAACAAAAGCATTGAAATGGCGACAACGAGCAAAAGAAAAGGCATGTGTTGTAGCCATGATTTGTTCTACGCTTCCTAGTGATCGAATTTGGAAGATCCCAAGAAATCAGAAATGGTGGGAAGAGTGTGTTCCTGCAATGGATGAAGTAAGTTGGCGTGAAAACTTTAGAGTTTCTAGAGAAACGTTTAATTTCTTATGTGCTGCATTACCTGAAATGAAAAGAAATAATACTCACTTGAGACGATGTATTTCTACAGATAAAAAGAGTAGCAATTGCTCTATATACATTGGCATCATCGTCTGAATATAGGACTATTTCACATTTGTTTGGTGTAGGAAAATCCACCGTTTGTAAAATTGTTATAGACTTCTGCAAAGCAGTTATAAATAATTTAATGTCTACCGCTATCCAGTTTCTACAGACTAGAAATGAAATTGACTTAAAAATTCGTGATTTTTACGAGATTTGGAATTTTCCACAATGCTTTGGATCAATTGATGGAACACACATTTTTATTTTACCACCAAAATAAGACTGCATTGACTATTACAACTATAAAGGATGGTATTCTATGGTCCTCCTTGCTGTTGCAGATGCCAAATATATGTTTACATATATAAATGTAGGATCTCCTGGAAGGAATAATGATGCACACATTTTAAAAAATTCTCACTCTCTTTTAACATGCCTACAAAATATAAACTCCTTAGAATTAGGGGAAAGAATTGGTGGAGAAGTTGTGCCACCTTTAATTATTGGTGACTCTGCTTTTCCTTTACAGCCAACTTTAATGAAGCCATTTCCAAGTAAAACAGAGGATGAAATAGAAAAAATGTTCAATTTTAGATTATCTAGAGCTCGACGAGTAGTGGAAAATGCCTTTGGAAGATTAAAAGCAAGATTTCGAAGACTTTCTAAACGAATGGATAATAGGATTGATATATCAAAACAAATAATTAAAACTTGTTGTATATTGCATAATTTGTGTGAGAAGAGGGATGATCCAATAGAGAAAACATGGCTTAATGAAATAAATCAGTCTGATAGTTCATCAGAAAGAATTTGTGTTATAGGGATAAACAACAACAAAGCTATTTCAATTAGAAATGCTGTTGCAAGAAGTTTTAGGGATGAAGATTATGATTATAAGGATTTTAAATTTAAGTTCTCAAAACAAGATTTATTACAGGACAATACTCAAAGTTTACTAGAATATAGTTGTACTTTAAATTTTGACATTGCTAATGTTAAATAATATATAAAGTTGTATCTGTTTGTTCTAAAATCATTAATATAAATTAATTTTTATGTGAGCAGTCCTCATAACTTGAGTGTTAAATGAAACTCCTTGTAACTGCAAATTCTTTTTAAACAAGCTCTTGAAAATCAGGAGACTGTTATAAAATTTATATACTCAAACATTAAGCTGAAATAAATTACTTTGACTGAAATTTTGTCTAGTGTTTGTAGTTTTATTCATTTATAAAGTCAGAAAAATAAACTTTATAACTGCAGTCCTCCCACAATCATCAAAGATGTATTTTCAATTGAGGAAAATAAACAATCATATACAATAAAAATGATTTTTATTTCAAATCATAAATATTCAAATTTTAATTAGACATTTTTATTACAGATAACAACTCTTTTTGCAATTCTATACTCTCTCTCTGTAGTTGCAGTCCTTCCTCTGCAATTTTTATAGATTTCCTTTCCAATTTCTCAGAACCGGCATTGCTCCTTTTAATTTCACTTATTAATTCATTTATTTGCCGTTCCAGTGGCCGTTTATTTTTCTTTGATGACCTTGTCACCCTTATTTCAGATTCAAGTCGTTCTGGTACTGGTACATCTATCAATTCATTGGAATTTTCATCGTTTTCTAAAAGATACGAGCACAATTATTTAAAAATATGCACTTATTTTATTTAAATACTCACAATAAAGGATGTAAATTATATAGAAACATTAATTTATTAGAGTAAATGATGATTACCTGTTTAGTAACAACCACAAGAAAAATCACCAGAACTTAAATGCTTAATTAAACAAAAATATATGTAAAATGGAGTTTGTGAACATGTTTAAATATTTTACAATGTCTATCCAGACAAATGTATTCTGACAACTTTTGAATTTAACTGGCATTCTATAGTTTTTGCAGTTATAGATGCCAAATGGTAATAAAGGCACAGATGTACAATTTAATAATAAATTCCAGAATGTTGTGTTATATTTAAAAGTGACCAAGTATTATGAGAAGTTGAGTTATTATAACAAATACTTTTGATGGTTAAGTAATAGATCTTGATATAGACTAATAGGATACATCTAATGATAATTTACCTGTATCCAATTCGAGTGATGGTAAACATTGTATTATCACACTGCTACAACTCTCTTCCATTAATGCTATATTCTAGGCTGGCTGATGTCCTATAAAGCTATTAACTACCTGGAAATATTGCCAGGTAGATGGGCTGCCTCCCGAATGCCCAATCTTCGTTACTTCTTCTCTAGTTAAAATAAAAAGAAAATTTCAATGTTTCAAGTAGGAAGAATTATTTTTTTTAAATTTAATAATAGTTATTAATTTGATGTTTTTATCATTTACGATTATCGTACGAGTAACAAGAAATATAATTTTCGTCATTTAATATCAGCATTCGAAATATAACTGTTTAAAGAATTCTTTATTTAAATATTAAACGATATTTAATTTAACGATCACGTATTTCCACAATTTCAACTTACCTGTATTTGGCAGTTAAATTTTTAATTTTCGTCCTTACTTCCGACCACGTTCCAGCTCTGGACGTTGGCCTCCGAAGACGAATTTCTGCCGCCATTGCCTCATATACACTTTTATTCCGTTTCGCTCGACGTAAATCATCGATCTTTTCCCGCCATATTTCAATTAAAACTGAAATCTCCTCCTCCGACCAATTTTCTGAACGTTTTTTCTCACTTTCGAATGTTTTTCCATATGCTTCCGCCATTATTTTTGAACTTGTGGCAGACCTCGAGGAAAGCTTGAAGCGACTTAAGCTTCTTTGAGAAAGAGATTTAGGGGTCGTTCGGCGTCTCCGCCACTACAGGAGTGAGCTGCTGTTTGTAGGCATTTAGGAACGACAGTGAAAGGAAGAACAAGATGGCGTCGTCTATACCTATCCATGATATCGTGATGGCGGGAGCTATGACGTTAAAATACGCGTTTTTGCAGATGTTTGAAGCGGATTCTTCCTCTTCCTCCGATGTAGAATCAAACGAGTCACACAGACGAGCATATGTTCCTCGGATAAAAAATTACGTCACCGAGATTGTTCCTTTATACAGGTAGGATAAGGACCATTTAGAAAAAACTCCACTGGAGGACTACTCTATTAATTTTTTTTATTTTTTCAGCTCTAGTGACTTCAAATCTCACTTTAGGCTCAGTAGGGCTTCATTTGAAGCGCTCAGTAATTTACTGATGCCAAAAATTACTAATCATGCTGTTAACAGGGCAGGGAGACCGTCTTTGACACCATGTGATAAGGTGCTGATGACCTTATGGTTTTTGGGCAACCGTGAGGCATATAGGTAAATATTAACAAGTATTACAAAATAACGCCAACCAGTAATCCTGCAGTTTATGTCGATCAACATTAACTGCAAAAACCTGCAATTTATCAATTTTAAGTTTTCATCTAATCTAGTCATCTTCAAAAGAGTTGACTTATTTTTGTTTGCTCATAGTTTATTTTTCAAATAACATGTTTGATATCTATTTTTTAAGATGACTAATTGCATTTTAGGCATCTAATACCTGTTACTGTATAGTGAAATCTTATACAATATTGACAGATGTAAATTGCAGGATTACCCTCTAATCTCTTTATAGTAACTTTCATGTAGTAATAAGATATTTAATATATTATAGGTCTGTAAGTGACCGGTTTGGGGTATCCAAATCGACATTATTTCGTGCTGTGCAAACAACATGCATTGCTCTTTCGGAACTTGCACCACAGTTTATAAAATGGCCTTCAAGAGACCAAGTGCAAGAAATTATACAGAGTTTCCACAACAAGAGTGGTTTTCCAGGGGTAGTGGGAGCTATTGATGGCACCCACATTGAGATTCCAGCTCCACAGATACATGCAGTTGCCTATGTAAACCGCCACGGCTACCATTCTATAATTTTGCAAGGTATGTGATGTCACTTTAGATACAAAGTGATCTAGTCCATGAATAGAAAATTGTTGTTATGAATTATGTAGTTTTATACAGTAATATAGACAACCACTTTCTATGAATTTTCTTAATTCAATCTGAAATTCTACAGTACAGATCTGTACTCTAATGATGTTTAACTCAACTCTCTTGTTTTCAGCTTGTGTAACATTTCCATGATTTTCATCTCTTGTCATGCTGGTGAATGTGGTCGTGCACATGATGCTGAGGTTTATGCCCGCTCTACATTAGCTCGAAAAATAGCCAGAGAGGCTGAAATAATGTTTCTGTATGACTCCCATATTGTCGGAGATGGTGCTTATCCCATAAATAAGCAATTAATGAAACCATATCCTGACAATGGGCATTTGACAGCTGCCCAAGTCCGGTACAATAGCAAGTTATCATCAGACAGAAGCGTTATTGAACGGTCATTTGCTCACCTGAAAGGAAGATGGAGAAGACTACATTATTTAGATATGTCAAAAATGGAGTCGATACTATCAGTTGTAATGGCTTGTTGTGTCTTACATAATATCTGTATTACGAGAGGGGACATCCTACAAGAAAATACTGAATTGGAAAAAGTACATTAATTTTCTATCCTAAGTTTTGATATTATGTACTATACAGTACATGTGTAACAAGTGTAACATTTTTAATGTTTTCCAGGATCCAGGCAATCATAACCTTGGAGTATATCAGAGATCATGTGTTATTGAGCAAAAGCAAGTTGGAAATACAAAGCGTGACAGAATTGCTCAAAACTTATAAACAAAGACATTTAGTAGTAAGCAAAATATTCCACTAATGCTATTTATTAATTATGTACCTTAAGATGAAAGGAGTAACTAATTGATTATATTCTGGTGTTGGATAAAGTGGAGTTATAAACTACTGTATTTATTTATGGTTAATTACAAACATTTTGGATACAGTTTATGGAAATCAAACTACTTTTATTAATATCTTTTAATTTTGTAATATTTCCTATTTTTTCAATGAACTGTTTAAATAAATTATTAAATTCATCCATCCTTTGCAGGCGTTCCTCATGCCGCTGCCGTTTTGCATTCTCACGTTCAACATCTGTTAGTAGTTTTCTTTTTGGACATTGGACTGGTGATGGTGATGCAGGAACTTCAGGCAGTGAAGATGTAGATGTAGATGCACTTTCACTGCTAAGAGTGAAAGGTTATGCCACATCAGGACGTTCACCAAGCCACTCGTCCATATTATTGTAGTAACACCATGTCCTCCTGAAAAAAAAGACCACAATATATTTAGTATTGAGAAATATAAGTGAAATTTCAATAAAAAAAAGTCACCTGTTGTTGCCAGATGTATTATTATGTTTTTTTTTACTTTTTTGTATGTTCTCCACAGTCCATCCCACTTCTTCCTACATCCTTCCCCAGACACGTCTAATCCTGTTTTTGATATTTCTGCAGCAATTCTGTAGAAGCAATGTATTGGCAGTACAATGAATGGTTACCATTAGCATAGGGCTGTTCATGTATTATATCAAATGGGGCAGACCTTACGAAGTGCCTGAATGTTTATCAGTGATTTCCATAATGTGTAGGTAAGGTTGATATGAGCCACCGGGAGGGAAGACGAGTCCTCTCCTTCCGGCCACTGGTCGGTGACCTACTTTCTTGTCAAGGATGGCGTTTCGTTCAGTTACGCGTTACGCGAGTGGAGGAGTGTCAGGGGGTCGACGAGAAGGCGTTGGCATAGTCGAATAAAGACACCATTTTTCTAAACTAACAATTTATTACAGACAAATAATAAAACAAATGTTCTAACGCGGTACGTCTCATTCGCGTATGAGAGAGAGAGCTTACAATAAAGCATTCATACCTCTTGCGATGATAGCGAAGGCCTTTAATTTCTGAAAGGCGGGATCCAAGTTGAGGGTTGGGATCGAAGGTTTTCTAATATGTGGTGCGGCCGGTTAGAGGGAAGTGAATGTCCGTCTTGATGGTGCGATGGCGACTTCTTGATCAGCGACCCCCCGGAGAGGGGGAAGGAGGATGGCTTTTATACCTTTTTGGTGGGAAAATTCGTCAGGTGATCAATTGTTTTAGCAGGTGTGGGGTTAAAGGTAGTGTTACAATGACAACAATATGACGAATTTCGCCTGTAAACTATATACTGTATAACTGATAACTGTAAACTATATACGGTTTGATCGTGAGAATGTTTATAGTTAAACAAAAAGAGTTATAATTCTCTCTTGTACTTTATATTTCGTTTTTGTAGGGTCAAATTTCTTTGGTTGAGGGCATTTTTATTTTAAATTTATTAAACTTTTAAAGGATTAAATGCTTTTATTAACCTCGAATTTCACAATATAAACCTTTATTAAACACTTCTCAAACATATTTCAGAATTTTTTCATAAACATTTAACTTAAGAGTTACAGCAAAAGCCCCCAATTTGTTTACATTACTGATTCAAGTTAAATGTTTATATCAAGCCTTATCCCCACAAACATTATTGAAATCACTGATGAACAGCTCATAAGGGTTCCTTGCTAGTAACAAAATAAGATAGAAGGAAAGAGGTATCAAAATATGTGAAAATTATATGACATAATATTTGAACAACCTCCCATAATAAAAGGCAAAAAAAATACAGATCTGTTCCATAATATGGACTTCCTTGTTGGCCCATTTTCGAACATTTCATTCAAACTTTTTCTCAATTCAATTAGTTGCAAAATGTCCTTATGGGGCCATTTTGTACCACTCAAATCATCTTGAGGACTAGGACTAGGACAGGGAACCAAAATCTCACTGTCCTGATCTTGGACTGATGTTCATATAACATTTAAATTAAATTCACTACTAAATTTGTACTGCTCCTAGTTAAAAAATTGAAATATTCTAGGCAATGAATTCATCAGCAAGAAATGAGTATCTTAACTCATTTTTAAATTAAAGAAATTATAAGACCAGTTTATTTTTGAATGGTTTAAAGTTATAATACTCTACAAATTTAAATATATTTTATTAAACAATTTAATGGATGGTTATTATATCATTATAACAGCCAGTCATTTAAAATTTTTGAAACCTTAATGATTTAACAGTTTTAAACACTAATGACAATGCCAAGACATAGCAAAAACTTTCAGAGGCTGATATTTGAAATGTAAGTTCACCGATTTTGGGGGGAAATACGTTAATTGCGCGTCAGGAAAACCTAGGGTCAAACTGTATGTGGGTGGTGGCGGTAGGAGACAAAGATGACAAGTGTCTTACATGAAAACCGTTTATTTTGACATTAAATTAAGTTACACAATGCGAAGAACAAGAAATACTATATTGGCCGGCTGAGGTTTTGCTCCAGATATGCCCCGGGGCTCGAATGAGGTAGAGACTGAAGTTCTTGCATGCGATGAGAGAGTTCTTGCGTCCGATGATGGAGTTCAGAAGTTGTGGCATTCTGGATGCTTGGGTCCGGTGCACGGCTGAGAATCGGCTGTCAGTCCGCTTTGTCCTTGAGACCCGGGGGTTTTATAAGATTTCCCCCAAATTTCATCCTATTGATTGGTCCCGTTCACCCTCTCCCTTACCCCGATTGGTCACTCTTTTTGTTTCTAGGCGAAACCCGAGACCGATCCGGGTCGGGAAAAGGTCAGAGAGGTGATGACGGTCTTTTGATGTTCGNGAGATTTAAGCTGAGCCAGTTGTTGGTAGTTAAACCGGTTTAACGTTAAGTCAGTTCCGTTCATATTTCATTCCTTAAGCTGGCTTAGTCATTTAAGCTGGCTTAAAATATACAGTGTGAATAGGGTATAAGAGAGGGCTATTGGTAAAAAAAATGACTCAAGATTTTTACATTTTTGGACTAAGGACATTGAAACATCAAGAAATTCCAAAGTTTTTCTATATATATTGATGTTTGTTTGTGTGTGTAAAGTCATCTTTATCTTCAAAATTAAGCCTTTTGCTTTATTATAATCAATAATATAAGAAATACTTTTAATGAAATCACAAAAGATAGCATCACACACAATTTTCAAACATTGCTATATTAAATATTTTTTGCTGGAAAAGTTACACATCTTGTTATTGGATTTTGTTTAATTTTGATTTAAATGAATGAAATACAGATATCCGTAAAGAGAAAAGATAGATAGGTGATAAAATAGTTTTGATTAAGCTGATTTGTCAAAGATTTGAATTTATTTCTTAACAAAAATATTCTTTAGGATAGCCTTTCATTAGTAAAAATTTTAACATTCAAAACATTCTACCAGAATAAATAATATACTGAAATTGTCAGGTGTCTTGTGCCTGCATTTGAACTTGATTTAAATTTTAAATCAAACTTTAGCATTCTAAAACATTTAAATATATTATATAAAAATTTTTATAACTAAGCTTTTTTGTTTAAACTTATGATTTTTATATTATTTTCTAGTACTAATATATTGTTTTTACATATCTTTTTTAAACATCACAGTATAAATTTAGATTTATATTATCCCTTTGGGCATAATATACATCAATAATCTCTTTTAGATGTTCGGAATTTAATTTGCATTTTCATAAATGTCAACTTTTAAACTTGCAATGTAAATTGACTCTCTTTTTCTACTGTTTTTAAGATAAAGCTCTGTCTACCTTTTAGCAGCATCCTAGTTCACTTTCATTTATCTATCAAGAGCTTCTATACATTATGTATACAAAGAAACCTTTGATGGAAAATATATGCGAAACATACAGAGCAAGTATATTTGTTCTCTCAAATCTTTGAATGTTAAAAATTAACTTTGTAGAACTGAGGGGAAAAAATACTCTGAGTGGAAAGAGTGTATCTACAATGTGCTATAGGATACAGGTTACCATTTTTAAATTTTTAAGTTAAAACTGTTTTGGCATTTAAAAAAGATCAAAGTCAAAATATCAAAATAGCATGAAAAAGCATTTTTTTAGATCTATTAATACTTTCAGTTTCAAATTTATATAACAACTAAAATCAGAGACAGTCTACAATAGCCTTTCTTGGACATGCTATATGCTTAATCATACAATTCTAAAGTTTATAAGTATATTTACTTTGTTGGTTGGAATTAATTTTCTTTGTTAGCATACATATAAAAGTAAAAATACAAAAATAAGAATGAAAAAATCAATTTGATCTGATGGGCAAAAAATTCAGTTATTTTTAATATTTCTTATTTATCATCCTTAATATAATAAATTTATTGTAGATGGTGATAAATGTGTGTTTCAAAAAAATAAATATTAAAATAATATATGTAAAACAGAGACATAATTACAAAAAGTAATCTCTCAGCATAATAATTTCTTTAGACTAGTGGTGTCAAACATATACAAGATCATGAACCATCAAATACAATTTTAGAGTATCTGTTGCCACAGACACAAAAAAGATCTTTTATTTGTATTAAAAAAATGTAACATTTGCTAATAATACATAGAAATAATATAACAAAATTTAAAATTAGAGAGAGTAAAATTTAATATTTTTTACTAGAAACTTAGCATCTTCTAGCAGAAACAATTTTATCAATATCCTGTGTAATTTTTGTAAAATGATGTTTTTAAAAAATGTGCATTTAACAAATCTGTGTGGACTCATTAGCCTTTGAAATGGAAAATAGTTGTTCACATAGAACATTTTGATTTCATTGCAAAATTTCCAAAAGCATTTTAGACAGGAGAGCCAACATACTTCTGTATAATAAAGTAAATTTTCACCTTTCAGAGAAAAACTTGTCAACTTTTTTAGTTTTATTCAGTTAAGGCAATGCAACATATGGGCAATCTGCCAAGGAGGAATGTCTCCTGGGAGATCTTTTATGGGAAACTGCCCTTATTTAAGTGTTATTGACATGAAGAAAACCCAGAAAATTCTACATGGCCAGCCTGCTGGCAAGGCGTAAACCCCATAATTAACTACCAGTTTAGTGGTTTTATCCAAATTAGCCACTGGTGGGTTTATCAACTTTGAGTAAAAACTTGCCGAAAGTAAAAATTTTTATGGAACAATAAAATTTTTAGTTACCAACTTGAAAATTAATTTGCAATACATTAAAGAATTATTTTGTATTTTTTAAAATTCTGTTTTATTATTTTAATAACATCATGTTCAAGCTTAGGGTCATGGACCACATATTTTACACCATTGCTTTAGACAATCATACAGAATAGAGATATTAATTTTTTTTTTACCTCCATTCTTACTGTTTTATTACATTTTTGTTTCTATATTGTCTACTTGGACCATGTTTAGTAAAAGGACTTATTATACTGGTGTAGTTCCTGATTAGTAAAGAGAGGAAA